ATAACTAAAAGGCTTAATATCTTTAATAAATTATATAAAGTTTATTAAAGTTTAAGGTATTCTAAGGTATATATTTCCTTAATATTTTTATTATTTTATTTTTAATAACCTTATATTAATACCCTTTATTAAGTCTTAAATAAGTAAGGTTTTAATATTAGCCTTTTTTATATTTAGCTTAAAGCCTTCTACTAGTTCTAAAAAGAATTTCTTTATTAAGATTTTAGTCTTCTCCTTTTTAATTATTATTAAGGTTATTAAGCTAAGTTAATTTAAAACTTAATATAATATTAAAGATATATTTTATAATAAACTTCTTTATTTACTTATATTATTTTTATAAAGCTAATATATTTTTAAGTAAATTAAAAAATATTTTTTATATTACTTTTTATATCATAATTAAAACTTAAGTTTATATTATTTTTACTTTTTATATTATTTATTAATTTACTTAGTTTTATATTATTTAAGCTTTTTATTATATTTATTTAATATTAAGATAACTATTTATCTTAGTTTAGTTTATTATCATAATCTATACTCTTAAAAGAGGGCTATTTTAAGTATTATATATTATATAATCTTTTATAAAGTTATTAATAACTATTAATATATAACTTTTATATTATTTAAATTTTTTATTAATAAACTAGCTTTTAACTAAGAGTTATATTATAATTTTTACTTTTATAATAAAAATATTAATTTTATTATATTTTCTTATAAATATAATATTCTTAAGTTTATAAAAATATAATTTAAATAGTTATAAAATATAATTAAACCTAATTAAACTTTAGTCTAGTATTCTATACTTTATATTTAAAGTAAAGCTTACTTAAAAAAAGTCTAGAGTACTTATATACTAGTTATACTAATACTAATTTATTATACTTAAAGGGATTACTAGTATTATTTTAATTTAAGTTAATACTTTAATTATTTTATTTATTTATAATAATTTCTTTTTATAAAAATCTTAAAATAAATAATAAAAGTTAAAATCCCTTATTACTATATATAAAATACCTTAAGTTAAGAGAAGGTTATAAAAAAAAGCTTTAAGTTTAACCTTAACTCTAAGTAAATATTAGTAATA